AGCAGGGAGCCCGATGCGGGACTCAATCCAGGGACTCCGGGATCATGACCTGAGCCGAAGGCAGTCACTTAACCAACTGAGCCACCCAGGCGCCCAATGGCAAAGGACTTAAATAGACATTTCTTCAAAGAAGATATTCAGATGGCCAACAAGCAAATGAAAAGATGCTTAACATCATTAGTCATTAGGGAAATGCAAATCAAAACTACAATGAGGCACTGCTTCACACCTACTAGGATGGCTATAAAACCACAACAGAAAATAAGTGTCAGCAAGGATGTAGAGAAATTGGGCCCCTTGTATGTTGTTGGTGAAAGTATAAAAAATGGTTCATCCACTGTGAAAAACAGTTTGGCAACTCCTCAAAAAGTTAGACGTAGAATTACTGCATGGCCCTGCGATTCCACCTCCAGGCATATACCCCAAAGAACTGAAAATATTTACCCAAATAAGTACATCCACACATACATTTATAGTAGCACTATTCACAGTAGTCAAAAGGTGAGCATAGCCGAAATGTGCATGGATGGATGGATGGATAAACAAACTCTGATGCATGTATATGTAGGTGTATATTGTATGTGTGTGTGTGTGTGTGTGTGTACACACACACATACAAACACATGGAGTATTATTCAGCCATAAAAAGAAGTGAAGTACTGATACATGCTACACCATAGATGAGCTTCCAGAACATTATGTAAGTGAAAGAAGCCAGACACAATGGTCATGTATTATATGGTCCCATTTGTGTGAAATAGCCAGAATAAAATCATACAGAATGCAGATTGGTGGTTAGGATTGGGGAGTGGGAAGAAACCAGTTAGAGGAAGGTTTTTTACTTTGGAGTGATGGAAGTGTTTTGGAACTAGATAAAGGTTATTATTGCACAGCATTGTGAATGTATTAGATGCCACTGAATTGTTCACTTTGAAGTGGTTAATTTTATGTATGTGAATTTCACCTCACATTATTTTGTTTTGAGTGTGTTGATACAGGAATATAAAAGGCATCAGAACACTCATCTGGTATTTTTCACACTGTAGTACTGCAGTTTGTAATGTAAGAGGAAGAGGGGAGTAAAACAGAAGTTTTGGACTAGGTTTTTGAAAGGTTAAAGCCATTTAAAGGATTGAATCAGAAAGGTGGACATGGGAACGAAAAAACAAATTATCACTATCCTGTTTCAATTAGAAGCCAGAGTTCAGCACCAAGATAATGTAAGTTCAGATTTGCTTACTAGATACAAAATGGTGGCCTGTTTTTTCAGTTTAGGTTCAGAGTTATTATCTTAAATCATTTGATAAGAACAAAGCATTTATTGAAGAGTCTTCTTTCCATTAGATACTCTTTCCTGCTTTGTCAAAGATTAGTTGACCATAGAGTTGAGGGTCCATTTCTGGGCTCTCTATTCTGTTCCATTGATCTATGTGCCTGTTTTTGTGCCTGTACCATGCTGTCTTGATGATGACAGCTTTGTAATAGAGCTTGAAGTCCGGAATTATGATGCCGCCAGCTTTCATTTTCTTTTTCAAGATTGCTTTGGCTATTGGGGGTCTTTTGTGGTTCCATGCACATTTTAGGATTGCTCTAGCTCTGTGAAAAATGCTGGTGGCATTTTGATAAGGATTGCATTAAATATGTAGATTGCTTTGGGTAGTATGGACATTTTAACAATATTTGTTCTTCCAATCCATGAGCATGGAATGCTTTTCCATTTCTTTGTGTCATCTTCAATTTCTTTCATAAGTGTTCTATAGTTTTCAGAGTATGGATCTTTTACCTCTTTGGTTAGGTTTATTCCTAGGTATCTTATGGTTTTTGGTGCAATTGTATATGGGATCGATTCCTTGATTTCTCCTTCTGCTGCTTCATTATTGGTGTGTAGAAATGTAACAGATTTCTGAATGTTGGTTTTATAGCAACTTTGCTGAATTCGTGTATCAGTTCTAAAAATTTTTTGGTGGAGTCTTTCAGGCTTTCTACATGGAATATCATGTCATCTGAAAATAATGAAAGTTTGACTTCTTCCTTGCCAATTTGGATGCCTTTTGTTTCTTTTTGTTGTCTGATTGCTGAGTCTAAGACTTCCAGTATTATGTTAAATAACAATGATGAGAGTGGATATTCCTGTCTTATTCTTGACCCTAAAGGAAAAGCTCTTAACTTTTCCCCATTGAAGATTATATTAGCTATGGAAAAAAGACCATCTCTTCAACAAATGGTGCTGTGAAAACTGGACAGAAACATGCAGAAGAATGAAACTGTACCACTTTCTTACACCATACACAAATATAAATTCAAAATGGATTAAAGACTTAAATGTGAGACAGGAAACCATCAAAATCCTAGAGGAGAACACAGGCAGCAACCTCTTTGACATTGGCCGTAGCAGCTTCTTACTAGGTAAGTTTCCAGAGGCAAGGGAAACAAAAGCAAAAATGAACTATTAGGACTTCATCAAGATAAAAGGCTTCTGCACAGCAAAGGAAATAATCAACAAAACTAAAAGGCAACCTTTGGAATGGGAGAAGATGTTTGCAAATGACATATCTGATAGAGTTAGTGTCCAGAATCTATAAAGAACTTACCGAACTCAGGGCGCCTGGGTGGCTCAGTCGTTAAGCGTCTGCTTTCGGCTCAGGTCATGATCCCAGGGTCCTGGGATAAAGCCCCACATCGGGCTCCCTGCTTAGCAGGGGGCCTGCTTCTCCCTCTCACCCTCCCCCTGCTTGTGTTCCCTCTCTCGCTGTGTCTCTCTCTGTCAAATAAATAAATAAAATCTTAAAAAAAAAAAAACTTAACCGAACTCAACACCCAAAAAACAAATAATCCAGTTAAGAAATAGGCAGAAGACAAGAACATACATTTTTCCAAAGAAGACATCCAGATGGCTAACAGACAAATGAAAAGATACTCAACATCACTCATCATAGAAATACAAATCAGAACTACAATGAGATATACCACCTCACACCAGTCAGAATGGCTAAAATTAGCAACACAGGAAACAACAGATGTTGGCAAGGATGTGGAGAAAGGGGAACCCTCTTGCACTGTTGGTGGGAATGCAAACTGGTGCAGCTACTCTGGAAGACAGTATGGAGATTCCTCAAAAGTTGAAAATAAAACTACCCTACAACCCAGCAATATCACTACTAAGTATTTACCCAAAGGATACAAAGTTACTGTTTCAAAGGGGCAGATGCACCCCGATGTTTATAGCAGCATTATCAACAATAGCCAAATTATGGAAAGAGCCCAGATGTCCATCAGCTGATGAATGGATAAAGAAGATGTGGTATATATATACAATGGAATATTTGCACAGCCATCAAAAAAAAAACAAAACAATGAAATCTTGCCATTTGCAATGATGTGAATGGAACTAGAGTGTATTATGCTAAGTGAAATAAGTCAGAGGAAGACAAATACCATATGATTTCACTCATATCTGGAATTTAAGAAATGAAACAGATGAATATAGGGGGGAAAAGAGGCAAACCATAAAACAGACTCTTAACTATAGAGAACAAACTGAGGGTTGCTGGAGGGGAGGTTGGCAGGGGAATGGGTTAAATGGGAGATGGGTATTAAGGGGGGCACTTTTTATGATGAGCACTAGGTGTTGTATGTAAGTGTAACTTCTCCTGAAACTAATATTACACTGTATGTTAACTCACTGGAATTTAAATAAAAACTTGGAAAAAATAAAACAAAGCAACATATTAGTAAGTGATTTCATTGATGATTTCAAACATAAATTAGTAAAATTAAGTAATGGAGTTTATATATTTCTAGAGGAAAACATTCCTTTGTTTGGATATGGGAAAAGAGGGCAGATGCACTTACATATGGAATATTCTTTTGACTTAGAATTTCAGTGTATATATCCTCAGAGAATACAGTGGATAGGAGAAGTTACTGTAATTAGCTAAACTAATGTTACTTGAGTTCAGAGCAGCAACAAAAATACCAAAAAGATGAATGCAAAATATGTCATGTGCTTACTTAGGTTATAATACAGATCACCTATAAAGTATACAGGGAATTTTTGTATATGTTGATTTTTTTTCCAAATGGTGACTGATTTTTCATTATTGTTTTTTGTCTTTGAGGTAAAAGAGTTGTGCTGTGCCAGACCAAAAAAAAATGTCCATTTTTTGCAGAATAAGAAAGCTAACCCTCTTCTTTGATTGCAGATGATGAAAGCCATGAACAAGTCCAATGAGCATGTCCTGGCAGGAGGTGCCTGCTTCAATGAGAAGGCAGACTCTCATCTTGTATGTGTACAGAATGATGACGGAAACTATCAGACCCAGGCTATCAGCATTCACAACCAGCCCAGAAAGGGTGAGTATTTGAGCTGACTGACATGGTAAGAATTGTACTGGACTTGGAAAGTTTGATATCTCAGACCCATAACTCTCACAGTCTAGCTAGGTGGCCACAAACAATTTGATGAAATTAACCTTTCCAAGCTTATTCTCCCAAGATTACATTGACTCCCCAAGTAGCCAGACTCAGAGTTGCAAATGGGATCTCTACTAATAAAGGGAACATTTTGAAAATACTGCCTCAGGATATTGGCAGGGCCAGAATTGATATTTGAAGGTAGGAGACTAGGCCCCTTAGAATATGCTTAGGTAGATTTGAAGCTTGTTGAATGACCATATCTGAAGACTGTTAATTAATAGGTTGACTGGATTCTGAAAGAAGGCTTCTTGGTTCAGTGGTACTCATAGTGTGGCCTCATCACTTAGGAGATTGTTAGAAATGAAGAATCTATACCCCAAATCTGCTAAATTAGAATTTGTTTTTTTAACAAGGTGCTGTGTTCAAATGTTTTGAAATTTAAGAATCATTGCTTATGGTGGCATTTCTTAAGGTGTCTTATCAGATTCTATGATTTTAAAAAATACGTAAGTGAAAGTCTTATATAATACATTAAACTGTGAAATCCTGGGTTAAACAAATTTAAACAGATTTCTTTACTACAGGACTTTTCAGAGCCTTTAACAGGCTGATGTATATTATAATTTTCCAAAAGGAAGGTAGTGCCTGGCCCTTCCCAAATTTGACTAGGAATCTTGTTTTTCCTCAGAATATCTCCCATAACTAGCTTTCTCTGGTATGCTTTACTTCTCTGGCTGACAGTGATATAGGTCACTGTCTCCAGTATGTTTTTCCAATCGGTTGTTTAGTAAAGGCATAAAAGGTCTTTGTCACATGTATATTCAATATGATATCCAAAATAAGGTAGGTGATAAGTCCACAATGCTCTCTATTAGTCAGATGATACCTAGAATATTTGAATTAAGTTCTGGATATCATTAATGTAATTGATGATATCCATTGATAAAACTGGAGGTTCTTTAGAGGATGATTCAAGGCCTGTGAAAAATTTGGAAACTATGTCAAAAGAAGATTTTTTGAATAAACTATACATGTTTAATCTGGAAAAGTCTAGATTGGAAGAGGGTGAAAAATAGCTATCTCTATTTTTAAGGTTTTCTAGTATGTGGAAATAAGATTCAATTTGTTCTCTAGAGCTACAAAAGGCCAGAACCAGCACCATTGGGTGAAAGTTACAGGAATCTAGATCTGGACTCAATTTGAGTAAAGCCGAGAGTTATCCAGAAGTAGAATGGGCTGCCTTGTGCCATTGTGGACTCCTTATCCCTAGGAGTCTTTGATAAAGCTGGATGTCCACCTGTTAGAGATATTGCAGGGCCAGTGGGCAGGAAGTTGGATTACTTAGTCCAATTTAAGATGTGGAGGAGCATAGGGGCTCCTGGCTGGCTCAGTCGGTGGAGCATGCAACTGTTGATCTCCGTGTTTTAAGTTCGAGGCCCATGTTGGGTGTGGAGATTACTTTAAAAAAATAAAATCTTAAGGAAAAAAAAAAGATGTGGAGGGGCATAGTGAAATACTCTTAAAGTTAAATATGATTACATGTCCTTTCTTTTATGAAGAGATAATGGTAACAGGTGTTTGTCTTTTAAAAAGTTTTTTTTTTTTTTTAAAGAACTGCACTAGGTCAGTAAAATGGTTGCCAACCATATCTCCATCTTCAAAATGTATTTTATCTAAAAAAAAAAAGTATTGGGGTGCCTGGGTGGCTTGGTCGTTAAGTGTCTGCCTTCGGCTCAGGTCATGATCCCAGAGTCCTGGGATCAAGCCCTGCATCGGGCTCCCTGCTTAGCGAGAAGCCTGCTTCTCCCTCTCCCACTCCCCCTGCTTGTGTTCCCTCTCTCGCTGTGTCTCTCTCTGTCAAATAAATAAATAAAATCTTAAA